CCTAATAATATCTCCATATACCCCACATCGTCTAACAGAACATCAGGCGTTCACAGTATCCTTGCATTCAATGTCCCTGACTCTGCAGACCTCCAAGATACGATAAAAACTTCCCATGAAGCAACCAGTATAGAGCCTCATATGGTTAGAGCCGTACGATTGCCGAAAGGATTGATAGTTATCCGGCACCAGTTAGACTGAGTTCTACAGAGCAACTCGCCTTAGAAACACTGGTCGGTGAGCTCAATACTATTCGAAAAATTCCTAACTTATCCAATGTGTTTTTCAGTAGGGTAGTGTCTCGTACTTCTATTATTGATCGTTCAGAGGTACTTACCACCTTTCTTTTGGGTGCAACGTGTAGACCTATAAATGCAGCAGAAACACCATGGACGAGTACAATCAGCAGCTCACAGCCTAGCGTACTACTGCAGTTACACGAATTAGTCCATTCGAGCGGAAGTTGGGTTCACCCTTAACACATCCCCTTCCACTACCCCTAACACGCATTTTTTCCTGTCAACGGTGGTCCCTCAGCTGCCACCATGTCCACTTCCACTAAACCAGCTGAGTATATCCCATCAATTACTACGTTTGGCCCTAAGCCTCCAAGCTGTACCCCACCTTGCAACGACCCCGTGGTCAGCCCACCCTCCACCCTATCCTCCATATTTAGGGAGGTTGTAAATATAACACGCAATAAGCATATCTATGTTATACTTCGAAATGCCCACTCACTCCTGAATAAAATTCAAACGCTTCGAACGATCAGCTTACTTTTTCCCTCGCACATTATCCTGGTCACTGAGACATAGTTAAAAGAAAATACGTTGTCTGCTGCCTACCAGATCGCAGGGTACAACAGCTACGGTAGCTTCCGAGCTGCCACTCATGGTGGCGGATGCCTTATATACATCAGAAATGACATCTATGCTTTTCCACTTACAGACCCCTATCGGAGCAGTCAGAAATACTCGGTCTTCGTCTCTGCTCGTATAAATCAAGACTTTCTATTGGCTGCGTCCACAACCCACCAAACTCTGGTACTGCCACTGTAGACAAATTACTAAATGTATATCACTGCGCTTCTGAGCATCGTGGGGACTACAAACCCATAGGTGGCAATTTCAACATGCCGAATATTCATTGGGGCATACCTGCCTAATCTACAAAGTATAGTATGTTTGCTACCTCCGTCCATTCCCATGGTTGGATTCAGCACGTACGGTCGCCAACTCGAGAGGACCACACTCTTGATCTCTTTTTCACGCAAGGTGTACCGGAAAAGCCCGCCAATGTACTAATCACGTTTCCCGGCAGGGACTATAGGCTGATCGTACTTTTGTTCAGCTCACCGCCGCCAAACCTCGTCAACATTTACAAACCCGTAACATGGTCCCGTAAGTATGCCTTCAGTGACTGGGTTATTTGCATATTTCATTAGATCGTCCCCATGGGACAGTTTCTTCTTAACTGCTGACCCTCAAATCGTTGCAAATGAGTTCTGTGGCAACATCAGAACTTGTCTTGACGTGGTCTCACCGCTTAAGCGTGAACGCCCTATAAATCGAAAATATGCTGGCATATGAAGTAAATTGGTTAGCAACGAATCCGCGATAAGTACCTGTTTACAATTTATTCGAAAAATGCCACAAACGTGATAAAGTTAAAGAAGATGACCACAATTAGTGTAAGCAACGTGTGCAAATTAATAGAAGGTTATTCAGATAGGCAGAACATACCAAATAAAGTGGAATGAAATTTATTCAGCTTAAAAAGACCAAGATTAAGTGAAAGTTGGTTTAGTCCAACTGCGGTGAAGAAGCATCATGAACGCGACATCAATCACTAGTAACAGACAGGAATGTACAAAGGTCGCCGTAGGCTCGCGCTCTGCCTGAAGTATAGAGCTATAAACTATGGAAGTACATTTTTCTAACAGGCAACACCATAAATCAGATCGGTTTATTGAGTCGAATGAAGTCAGAAAGTCCAAGAATGCGGTAAGAGTAACGATATTCGAAGAGCTTGCAAAGCGTGAATATTCGATCCCCATAACCTCAAGAGAGGAGAAAGCAAGCCTGCTCCTCCTGATTGTGGGCTTCACGAATTACGGAAAGCGTGCAGAGCATGATGGATGCCAGAAGTCTGGAGACAACCGGTGTTAGACTGATCCATCTGTGATTAGCGCATCGTGTGAAAACTTTTCTTGAAGATTGGATCAATAACTGACTCTCCACAAAAAGAGACGATTCTTTCTTCTTGTCAAATATTCAGAAACAGGGAAGTTGGCCGCTTGATATTTGCGTCACCGGAGGAGGTTCGTTCGAGTCGACAGTCTTGAAGCGTTTCAGATGTCCCCGATAGTGACCAAACCCAAGGTAATCAAACAAGTGTGCTAGGTGCAAAAAACGGACGGCGGGTACAAATAAATTGAGATGAAAATTGCTCGATTAACCAGTCCACGCCTCTCTGCAAGTTAGTGATTTGTGACCCATCAGCCCCACAGAGAACTTCGAAGACACGTGGCTTGCTGTGGTCAGTGGCTCGAATGAGCTGAAACAGCCTGCGAGTATTTCAAATGAGATGCTGGTGCCATCTCCAAAGCACGTGGGGACCAGGATACTTCTCGAGCGATGTGAAGACTTCGTCGGAGTTGCCGGTTAACAGCGAGAAGTTCGTCCTGGTGTAATTTTGCTGGGAGAGCTCAGCGGCGGCCGAACAGTGCCAGGGGGAGCGCAAAGATCCAGTCCTTCAAGAGATGATGAAGTAAACCAGACAGACTGACCGAAAGTTAACATTGTGCTCTGCAAGTCCAATGATGTTCGATATCAGTGGGATGAACACAAGCTAATGCCTTTGCTAATGTCAGTTAAGCTGAGCCGATCTGTCAGCTAGATTGATCGTAGTGGGCCCACAATGCCTCCGTTTCGGATGCCTCTAAATCGCAAGCAACTGTTCTACTGACCAGTGTGATCTGAAACAAGATAAATGGGCCACAATGATTTGCAGTTTTGTATGCGACCCTGCCCTTGGAAGTAATTGCAATGTGATCTACTTGAGACCAAGCCTGTGTTGATGAAGCAGGACGCCAGGTGGTGTCCATAGCGAGTGCTTGTGAGGTATAGACAGCTGGCTTCGCAAAGGGAGTGGCCTAGTTCCATTAAGCTAGTGGTCCTCGTTCAGTGTATGCAAACACCTGGGTGAGATTCACCTGCGTTGAAGGTTCCGGCAAGTGCAACGTCCCACTTGGAGATTTTACGCAAAAACTGATGAAGTTGGTATACAATTCGTATTTAACCAAGTCACAACTGCTACCGGCTGGCAGAGATCACAAACAATTTCGGTCTTTTAACGCGATAATTGTGAAACGATGCACTTACAGTGCCAAAAGAAGACATTGTATGCCCGGAAATAATGACACTAGTACAAATTTCTAACCGAACAAGGATAAACGATTAACGGACCAGACACAACTGCTGATAATTCACAAGTAAATTTTGATTATTCGTAATTCGATAGAGTTGTACAGAAACCTTTCTACTTGCTCTTAAATACAGTCTCAGTCTCAAGGCAGTAGATTTGGGGCCGAACCGCACATAGCTGGCCCTCAAAAGGTAATCAAGCCAGGAACCCGCTTCGATATTGCTGCTAAAGGCCACGTTAACGCTAGTCAAACCAGTTGGGATTGATGCTGCGTCACCAGACCGTAGATGCATGTCGCTTCGTGGCCGGTCGGAGATGTCAACTTCACTTTAGGTCTTGCTGCCGTGTTTCGGAAACGCAGCAGATAGCAAGAGCGAGGGAATTCGAGGTACGCACCAGGCCGAGCTGGACCCAAAATATTGAAAGCTGCTAGCTGAAACGAGGATCTGGACCAAAGCGTGGTCTCAGAGCGAACTTTCTAGACAGCAGCGAAACGGGCAGTGGGATTAAATTGAGACTGACGGATCAATAGCAGATGGATGGTTGGTAAGAGATGGAGACAAGAGCGACATAGTTGGGCGAAATAGCAGTGTAATCCAGGGTATCTAAAATCAAATAATAGTAAAACAGCGTGCACTGGAGGGTTCGAATACATTTTCTGCACGTTGTGGGGACGGCTCGTATGTGCAAAGGCGTCAGTAGTACGCGTGCGCACCGCACCAGTGTTTCGCTGGGAAGCGACCGCACCAGTCGCGCGCGGGCTATGGGTACTACGAGGTCGCTGTAAAAGGACCTCGACAGTACGTCGATACTGCGTACCGACGCTTCATTGCCGCACAACCACCACCAGTTGCGCGTGGGCTAAGGCTAATGCGAAGGTCGCCAGGTCCCCTAGAAAAGCTTGAACCCGCGACCTCAGGATTACAAGGTAAGCTTGTGATACTCTAGGCTACGGGCCGGTGAGGTCACTAGTACCAACGCAGAGTTGAGCCAGTGATCTGTGGGTTACAAGTCAGATGCCTCATCAGTTCAGCCAACGGCCGGCATGTGCAAACTGGTGTCCAAACGTGTCTCCACTTGAATTGCGGAGACTGTCACGCAAAAGCTTGAAAGTGTAGTTCTTGCAGCTAGAAGTGTAAAGTTCACAGCGCATGTGGGTGATAACAGAGCATCCAGACTGATTACACAAATCGTACACATAGCACCATCTTATCATGAGAAGAGTAATGCAGAAATCCCTGCAGCTGCGTTGAAAATATCACAGACTGGAAACAGGTTCATATAGGCACCGTGAATTCGGGATTACCACTAATGGGACGAATAGCCGTTGGTTAAAGTCCGAGGAGAGGTGAAAAAGTGAAAAGATAGGGCAATGGTCGTCATGAATAAAATAGTAGAGAAAGCTGGCTGTTATTTAATGCATTAGCTGCCGCATCAAGAATATAGCTGATCTACAACAAGACTGAGGGAGGATCAGGTGGGAGCCAGAGAAATTTTCAAAGGTGAAAAAGTGAACCATGATGAAAACACCCCAAAACAAAAGCAAACGTGAAGAAACGGAGAACTAAACTCACCAGTATTTGACGTTTCATTGTGAGATAAAATAAAGCGAAGAAGTACATGACCAATATGGGCCAAAATACAGGTATGTCCAGGAAAGGGAAGCCAGTACATAGTACAGAGGCTACTATTGCAGCAGTACAAGAGCTCCTACATATAATCGAATGATTAATCCGACACAAATAAGGGGACGAACCAAAACTTCAACTCCGGAAGCCGACGCATAAAGGGCCTGAACTCCTCGGAGGATTTGGTCGGAAGTATGTCTCCATCTATGCAAAGGTAAACATCAGAAACTACATAATACTAGGGTCGGTTTCTGGATCAATTTTTGGCGAAATAAAGCCAAGTAGCCGATTGAGAAGATAAATGCCTAATATATAACTGATGACGTGATAGCCCTGGGAATAGAGAAAGGTTTATAAAGAAATGAAAAATACATACCTGGATAACGAACACTCTGGTACAATATAGAAAGAACATGCAACCGGTGAATGTCCATCGAGGAATAGGGTACGGGGTAACAGTATCGATAAACCGTTGATATATCTGTCGGATAGAGTAGCATATAAAGCATACCTCCTGGAGTTGTTTAATGGGCTTGGGCGTGTCAGGTAAAGTTGTTGGAGGCTCGCTGGGGTAGTAACTCATTGAGATCAGAGGGGTAGAAGAAAATTATGAACTCAGACAAAAAGACAAGTAAAGTGTAACCGTCGCGCAGCGTATCAGGAAGATTTCAAGTAGTTACAACAGTAGAGTCTAGGGAAAGCAGAAGCCTTAGATCTCAATAGGCACACCTGACTGCTGGTGAATTTGGTTGGTCTGAATTGGAAGAAACAGGTAGTGTAGAAAGGCACATAGAAAAATAATAAGTTTCCGAATTAGCTCTTGATAAATACAAGTGAATCAGTGCATTTGACTTCTATACAACGTCTTATGTCCCATCGTCCACAATGGAGCTAAAGCATATACTGCGATGAACCGTGTACTTGGGTGATCCATTGCATTAGTCTGTGGAGATCGAACATTCTCTCTGATGGGGAGCATTAATCTCACCATCAATACATGTTAGCTGAAGGTAATAACCCCACTACAGCTGATGTGCGCAATAAGCAAAAGACAAGATATGTGGACAAAAACGAGATACGAAACATTACAGAGTACAATAGAAAGCCAATAAAGTAATATGATGCTCAGTATCCTATTAAGCATCACCCGTGAGAACCTGGTTGGATGGGGTAGATAAGCAGGATGGAGAGTCATTGGAGCAGGCTCTTTGCCATGTTAACCAGCGTATCCAACCAAACGTGTTTATCGTCTTTGGGATCCCAGCCATGCAGTCGGAAGACACATAGCAACGTCAAATCCGAAGTGAGGGTCTTCATACCACTTGACTAAGTCATCGCTCGGCCTCCCTTCCTCTTTTTCCATACACAACACATGCGCGCAAATAACGCACAACGAAAGGGTAGGTGTGCTGACCTGTGCAACAGCTGATTGAGCCATCGGAGCCAGGTGCGTGATATACCGGTGCTCAGCGGTTCAGTCGTTCTACCAGCAGTAAATACACGACGCCAAACACGCTCATACTAGACATAAGCCAAGCGGTGAAGGCAGCAATGACCGAACGCAACTAGCCTCTTTATGCCTGTCTGGGCAACGTTACACAACCGTATAGGAGGGTTGAAAGGTACGGCTGCACTGTAAACTCTGCCCTTCAGGGGAGGGTGATGTCGCGTCGAGGTCACAAGTGGCGGAGATTGGTAAAAACGTCTCGAGTTTTTGCTATACGGTCCGTGATCTCATCTTCGATTTCACGGGCGTTAATATAGCTGCCGAGATACTTAAATTGACGGACGACTTTTAGCTAATCACCGTCAAGGGTCAGTGCGGGAGTGGGTCCTTACCAATCCTGAAGAAAGATTTTGCAGTTCGAGGGTGCGAAGCATAGCCCGAAACCACTGACAGCCAGAGCTAATTTATCCAGTCCGTCACGACGAGACTGGACCCTTGTTGAATACCGCCTCTTGAATACGTCAGATTCCAACAATGTGATACTAACTCTCCTAGTCGGATGAACGAACGAGACTCAGCATTATTTCTCGCACGGCACGGTAACTGACAATCTCGAAGTCTGTGGGTTCTCGGAACTTAGCCGCGAAAGATTAATTCACGCGAGTCGAACAGGTTCCTAGACCGAACGCAAAGTTTCTACGCACGATTTCCCAACCCAAGACTGAATCAAGAACAAGACAGGCCTTTGCCACAGGCGCTTTTATTGGCCAAAGCTAAGGCGATTCTAGCGTTGTACAGCCTCATTTTTATAACACGAAACGGTGATGAAGGGGGGCTTTTTCCTTGGAAGGGTTTGCGTAAGCAAACCCTGGAAACAAGAAACATGGTTTTATGTTAATGTGCAAAGTCCGTAAACTGAGCAGAAATGTTGGAAGTTTGGCGAGAGTTGTCCGGAAAAATGAATGTTGCTTGGATACAACATGCGTGTTTGGTTGGAAACAAGACTGTTTCTGGGTGCAAAGGCTAAACAATGTGCATGTTACACGAGTTGGAAGGCTGATTGAACGTGTGCGTTTTGTCTGCTCTGAGTACATGTGCACTTGAGTGAATCGAGTTTTCAGCCTTCCGTAATTTCAGCCTTTAATAATGACAGAGACGTTGGGTCCCCATAACAATCCTAACCTGTTGCGACGGTTTGCTTACTTCTTGGACCCACTGAGCTATACTGGGTGGGGTCCCCGGCCCTTGAGAGCCACTCCTACCAGGTTGGTTAATGGGTAGAGGTCAGACAAACTGTCTCGGTCCTCCACGTTCGGGTTTTGGAATGGGATGGCATCCATTTCTTACGTTATCTATCGATTTGAGCGCACTTGTGAGGCAACATATATTGGTGGGACGGGTCGTCGACTGTCATGTCGCATTAAGGAACATAGCCCTAAATGGTTGTTGAACGGGACACCGGAGTTCTTACAAGCGGTATTTTGTCTCATCTGTTCGAATCAGATCAACAGATTAACCTCCCAAATCCTTTTACTGTGAGTTATCAGGTTCCACTGAGCAAATTGAAAGGTACGCGGTTAAGGATGCTCGCCACTGCAGAGGCCATTGCGATCCGCATATTCCAGCCTCTACTGTGCTCGCAAAAATAGTGTGCTCAATCTCTATACCTGCCCTGGCCGGACAGCCATCAGCCGAGCCGTCACCCTGACATCGGCTCAGGTACTGTGATAACGTAACCCTCAATCGATCTGTGTGAATGAGACAGCGGCGAACTATTCGCTGTCTAATTATTGACCGAGTCAAATCAGAACAAACCACAGAACCAATCTTGTAGAGGAATCAATGAAAACCAAGTCGTGGCCACATTTGCAATCTTGCTGACAGGGTTTTGAGCCAAAAACTTCGGTTGAGTACTCCAATTGTCCTCCTGTCTATGTCTAGACGTCCTGGCAGTATCTCAGCTCACGTACAAGCATGACTATTTTCTTAAACTTCCACCACATCTTGCATCGGTCGTCGCGCAGATTATCAAGGGTCACCTTATCTGCTGCATACAGTAGGGCGCATAAGCTACTGCTAATACCGCCCACTTTCCTATCCACCTCTTTCTCTTATTTCCACACAAGTTCCATCATTAGCCTTGCTTCTATAATTCTCAACTAAATTGACAGCAGCCGTAATGCTACAACAGTTCTACCAACTAAAACTATCTTCGTGCAGCACCTACCCAGAGACCAATCAACAACAGCCCCTATAAGGCCACCCTGTCCCGTTTCCCTGGCGGCGTTCAACGTTCGCACTCTAAGACAAACAGGTCAACAGGTTGCACTCGCACGCACATTGGACACACTGGGTATTGATGCGATGGGTATCCGAAACTAGGATCAACGACCATCACGGGGTACTTAAATTAACTGAAGCAGGCTTGTCCTCTCGCTATTGGTTGCACGCATCCGGAGACGCTGGTGAGGCAATCACTGATCAAGGTGGGGTAGGCATTGTTCTCAGCTCCAAGGCTGAATCATCGTTGGATGATTCGATTCCCGCAAGCAGCCCTTTGTGTGCAGCCCCTTTAACATGAAATAAAATTGATTCACTAGACGATGTTTGTTGGTGGTTTCCGTTTATGCTCTCAGCGACTGCAGTTCTGATGTTGCCAAGGACATTCTATCACGAACTGAACATGCTGCTTCTCAGTGTTATCAATTCAGATATCCTAAATGCATATGAATGCGCAAGTAAGCCGTCTGAGCTCAGTTAGGCGATAAGTATGGGATTAACTCCGACATTAAGGACAACAATGAGCGTTGAAACTACGCGCCGAAGTGCCACTTGGCGTTCTGCTGTAGCTGACTATCGATGGACACGAATTGGTCACATTTCCATAAGTCACATGTGGCGTGGTTCTATCATGGACTGTCGTTAGTTTTGTAACGCTTGCACGGCCGCAAGGACCATGCACCCCGTCCCCCCAACAACTACCAACTGTCTCCTGGAGCCAGTATGAACGACGCAGTGGGTAATAGACAGGTAGGCACCATGTCAACATGCACATCAAGCGCAGCCACACCAGGGATATAAACATCCAATCACTTGAAAGGACGATATCAAATAAAATAAATCGAATAATGCATACAGATACGATGAAATAACTTTTCACTAAATCAGCGTATAAATTGGCTAAGAACAAATTCGTGATACGTTCAAGACGTCTGAAAATATATTTTAAGAAAATGCCAAACGCGAAACTGTTATCGAAATTAACTAAAGTAGTTGAATGGACGTGTAGAAGTTTATAGAAGATAGTTCAGGTAGACAATAATATGAGATAAATAAGCAGTAGGACAATATAACAAACCCATCACCTGAAATAAGGAGAATCAGCATGCAAGCACGAGGTTAGTAAATCGAATGCAGCGTACCTACAAACGCTGCGCCGGTTCTGCCGTGTTCTGCGGAACTCATCGCCATTTCGGTGTTGGCCCCGAGTTCCCTCGCTCATGGCTCACTAGACTTGCTTGACTCAGGCACTCGCGACCGCATGTGCTACAGCACCAAGCGATCGATGTCGATGGAGTACAAGCCATCGGCGCCTGTCACTTCTTTTCTGCACACACGAGGGATTTATCCTGCACGTCGGCAAGTGCCTTCGTGATCAGATCGCGCTATGCACGCCGATCAACCGCTTTCGATTCTCATGAGCTGTAATCAGAGATCAGAACGTGAGAGGCTCACTTTGATCATGTCCTGGTAACGAAGCTTCGGTTTCCCCACATGCCGCTTCCCTGCACTAAGTTGGCCATACAGCAGCTGTTTAGGCATCCGCGTCGAATCTACAGGCCATCTCAGGTGTCGCAGCAAAAGTATGCAGTCCACTGCATACATTCCACTACGGCGCAACTTCCGTGTCAGCAACTCTGTCACACCAACAAATGCGCAAAATGTCACAAACACTGTTGATGGAACCGCTCGAGATATCGCACATCCCGACGGTACATCATCCACACTCCGCTGCTGTATGGAAGAACGGACAGCACCATGGATTTGTACACCATCAGTTTCGTGACAATGGTAAGCTGATGGTTGTTCCACACTTGGTACTCTAGCTTCCCGAATGTCGCCATTGCCTTCGATACGCGGATAAGAAGCTCACTGTGTAGCTGCTGGTCAGTCGACACCACACTCTCAAGGCAGCAGAAGCGGAAGGTGGTTTCCAATACGTCATCACCAATGTTGATGGGCGGCACCAATGTGTATTGCACTTCCGGCGAAGGCTGAAAGGGACAGACAGTTTTGCTTGTGTTGATG